GAGGGGCTGCGGGCACGTAGGCACCCCAGGGCTGGAAGGGGAACCCAGGCGCCCGGGCCCCTTGCTCCGTGCACTAGCCCTCTGCTTCCCTCCAGAGCCAGGAGGGGAGCCCATGTGTCCGAGCCCCCTGGCCTGCTCCCAGCCCTGGAGAGGAACCCAGGCGTCCAAGTCTACCGGCTACACCTTGCTCTCCCCCATCCAGCGCTGGGCAAAGAACCCAGCAGTCCAGAGCTAACCCCTGGGTCGCACTGCCTTGCAGCAGGACAGCCCGATCCAGCCAGGCTTACCCCGGTCCCAGGGGCTCAGCGCCGGCGTGTGATGCTTCCAGTCCGCCGGCAGTGTGGCGTTGCCCTCGGGGCCATAGCCTGCCGGGCCCTCGCGCTCCTTCATGCTGGAGAACATCTGGGGCCCGGGCACCTGTCACCGAGATGGCAGCCAGGGTCAGCGTGCCCCAAGGCTGCGAGCTTCCCCGGGGCAGTGCCATGCCCAGTGCCAGGCCTTACCTTGAGGGAGCTGGCCCGGTCCTGGGTGCCAGGGGGCGGGGGCGTGCGGGTGCACTGCGACAGCGTGTGGTAGCTGGGGTTGGAGTAGTAGTGGGTGTAGCTGGGTGGGACATCTGCGTCGGGGAGAGAGACGGGTCATCCCCAGCCTGCGGCTCTAACCACTAACCCTCCCTCCCCTCCCAGAGCAGGGGGAGAACCCAGGCGTCTGGGCTCCAGGCCCCAGTCCAGGCCGTGCCACAGGGACGGCTGCCCCAGCCTCACCTGGTACGACATATTCAGAGCTGCCAGGCCGGCCCACGGTGTAGGCCGCGGCCAGGGGCCGGCCCTCCTTGCCCTTCTGCCGGTGCCGGTAGTAAAGGAAGAGTACAGCCAGCACCAGCAGCAGGGTGGCCAGGACCACGATGCCGATGATGGCGCCCAAGGAGCTGTAGCCCGCTGGAGGCGTGGGCTCCACTGTGAGCGGGTGCTCAGGGTCCGCTGGGCACCAGCGAGAGACAAGAGCCGTGAGAGGGAACCCAGGAGTCCCAGCTCCCACCCTTCCTCATCTCCAACCGCTCCCCCTATTCCCCTGCCACAGCCAGGCAGAAAACCCAGGCATCCGGGCACTACTCACGCATCTCGCAGCGGGGGCCGGTCCAACCTGGCACACACTGGCAATGCCCAGTAGCGGGCTCGCAGGTGCCATTGTGGAGACAGTCGCAGGCCTGGACACACCGGAGCCCGAAGGTGCCAGCTGGACATGCTGGGGGGACAGAAGCGGGGACTCGGTGGGGGGCAGTGGGGTGGGGGCTGCAGCTGGGAGCTTTGACCTCACAGCCCAGCCCCTGCCGCCAAGAGAGCGGGGGGAAGTTCAGGGCCCCACACTTCCCTGGCTCTGACCCCTAAGCCCCGCTCCGCTGCTAGAGCCAAGAGAGATCCCAGGAGTCTGGACCCCACTCCTCCCCTGACCTGAGAGAGAGACCCCAGGCGTTCGGGTGTCCCTCGGCACCGCCTGCCCCTCATGAGGATAAGAGCCCTACTGCTGCTGCCAGCAGGTAGGGCTCCTGGCGGGGACCACCAGGCCAGGATCGTGGGGGGCTGAAGCCCGAGGCTCTTGCTGGGGGACTCACACTGGGAGCAGTTGGCGCCGGTCCATCCGGGGAAGCAGATGCAGGCACCATCCACAGGCTGGCAGATGGAGTGGTTGGAGCACCGGCAGGGTATCGCGCACTTCTTTCCATAGCGCCCGGGCGAGCAGGCTGAGACATGGGGCAGGCAGCCGTTACGAGCTGGCCAGGTCTCAGCTCAGGCAACCCACCCCAGCCAGGTGCCCCATAGATCTCCCCCAATGGGACCCCAGCCCTGGCACTCACGGCGCTGGCAGGCAGGGCCGCGGTAGCCAGGTGTGCAGCTGCAGGCACCGTCATCGGGGGCGCAGGTGGCTCCATTCTTGCAGGCGCAGGGCAGGCTGCAGTTCTGGCCCCACCGCCCATCAGGGCAGCCCAGGCTGCAGCTGGGCCCTGCGGACGAACCACCATGGGTGGAGGTTCAGTTGGGTCCTCGCCCCCCACTATGCCCTGCAAGCCCCCAACCCATCCCAGCGCCCCTCACCTGTCCACCCCGGCATGCAGTGGCACTGCCCCGTGGTGGCATCGCAGCCATTGGCATGGACACAGTTGCACTTCTGGCTGCAGCCTGCACCATACGTGCCCATCTGGTGGGGGAGAGACAGATACATGCAGAGCGGCTGAGACCCCCGGCACCCCTCACCCCAGGGGTCCTGGACCTGGCACAACCCCTGTTGGGTCCCATGGCACGGTCACAAGTAGACCCCCGTGGCACAGATGGATCGACGTGCCCGGCAACTCAGACACAACCGAGGGGACTCACTGGGCATGGGTCCTGGCAGCGGGCGCCGCGCCAGCCAGCCACACAGGAGCAGGCACCACTGACGGGGCTGCAGCGGCTGCCGTGGGCGCACTGGCAGGTCTTGTTGCAACCAGAGCCCCAGGTGCCTGTGGGGCAGGGGCTGGAGCAGGCTGCTCCGTGCCAGCCTGCAAGGGAGGCAGGAGCAGAGGTCAGGCATGGAGCCAGGGGCAAATGCCCATCTGGCCCCACCTGCACATCTGGCCCCTTCCAGGCACAGCTGGGAGGGGCGAGAGCAGTGCAGGGCAGGGGGTCACACCTTCCTTGCAGAGGCAGGAGCCATCCAGTGGCGAGCAGGCGAAGGCATTCCGGCAGGTGCAGGTGCGGGCGCAGCCCTCCCCGAAGGTGCCGGGTGCGCAGGGCTGCTCACAGTGTTCGCCCTACGGGGATGGGCACAGGTTAGGGTTTGCACCCCCCTCAGCCTGGGCTGCATCAACCACCAATTCCCCCCCCTGCTCTGATCACTGTGCTGCACTGCCCTCCCATCCCCAGGAAAGAATCCAGGTGTGCTCACCAGTCCCTCCTCTGCTATAACCACTCAGCCATACTCTCCACCACCCATACTCTCCTTCCCCAGAGCTGAAGAAACAACCCAGGAGTCCTGTTGCCCTCCCTGTCCCCTCCAACCACTGCACCCTACTCCCCTCCTACCGCTGGGGAAAGAACCCAGGCATCCGGCCCCACAGCCTGAAGTCCACCCCCGGGACTCACCGTGTAGCCAGGGGTGCAGCGGCAGTGCCCCGTGACAGGGTCGCAGGTGCCCCCGTGGAGGCAGAGGCAGGACTCGTGGCAGCCGGGGCCATGGGAACCGAGTGGGCAGGTCTCATTGCAGTGCAGCCCGGCCCAGCCCACCTGGCACACGCACTCTCCCGTCAGCGAGTGGCAGCTGCAGGGCAGAGACGTGGGGTCAGGGGCAGGTCTCCGGGGGTGTATACCCTGCCTCAGGCCCCTGGGGGCACTCCTTCACTCGGAGCCTACTTGCACCAACAGGCCACCAGGGTGCTGGTGCATTGCACTGGCATGTGCATGGGCACGAAGCTCACACATGCATGTGCAAGATGCCCCATGCTCAGCATTGCCCACCCATCCCATTCACAGTGGCTTTGCCCCTGCGGCCCCTACCTCTGGCTA